TCCCGCGGCGGAAACTTTTGTGCGCGAAACGCCGGCAGTGGAAACGGGCCGCGGAAAATTTTCCGCGGAAAGCGTCAATACGTCCGGGGGAAAGTTTCACCGATACCTCGCCCGCGGCCGGCCGCAGCCTCCCACTGATTTTTCGGAAATGCCGTGTCTGCGTTTTCGCGCGATCCCTCTGGGAAATTTCAACTAACGCGTCGCAAAGGATCCTACCCATCTTTTTATTCAAAGTGATGTGTGCTAGTGAATACGACACAGAATGAAACTCGAAGCGATTACATGTGACCTCTTACAACCCCGTGCACAAATACTAAAAAATTCTTGAATGAAAAATTATGCAAATTTATAAAATCGACATCAATCTCATTTAAATAATCTAATAAATGTATTTAATGATTAAATCCTGTTATAAAAAATAAAATGAAAGTAACAAAACTGAAGTACCTAACACCAAATCGTACTCAAATATAAGAAACATAAATATCATTGAAAAAGTATAGTGCTAAGCACTAGAAGAAGTATCGGTGGTAGCGTTTCCTTCTCTGTAAGTGAATTAATGTAGGTAGGAATTCAGGTAACGGTATTCAAATTTGCTGCATTTTCTTTCCGACAAAGAACCCATTACCCGATGCAGCTGGGAATGCGGAATCGCACTTTGCGCCGGAAAATATCCGCGGCGAAGTGGTGTCGCAGCGAGCTCATAAATATTGCGGGCGCACGAAGACGCCTGTCTAAACCCATTGGTATTCATACCGCGGTGTCTACGTTTTGCCGAAAGTATGTAATAAAATTCCGCTGCGCGGTGTCCGTGAATGACCGACGTAAGAATGTAACACTATAAATTCCGATTCGTGAGTTACGCAGTACAACGGGTTTTGATAAAACGCACAGCAATTGCGAGCTTTCGACCCCGTTTCAAAATTAGACGACACAGTCGGAAAAATGCAATTTTACTTCAACGCTGCAAGTAACGTTTTCAAGAATACGTCCAATTTCCCATTATTTTAAGATGTTACATAAAATCATAGAAAAAAACGGCAGTGAGTAGAAATCGAGTCATTCGCCTTAATAATGTCGAACGTGATATTGCCCGGGAAAAATTGACTAATATTTTCGGTGGAAGATGGAATAAGAACGACGGGGGAAAAAATGTTGTATCGTATCGTATCGGATCACATATCGGGGACCGATGCGGTATCGGCGCGGTGTGTGACGTTCTACAGCTGTCGCGCCATAATCGTTCCAAGCGTGAAATTACAGCGGAATCGATATTAGAGTTGGTCCGTGGTTTTTGTGCGACCGATGGGAATGCACGAGCAAGGAAACGCCGCTTTGATTCGAATTCAAAACGAATACGCTTTCACAGAACTTCGAGACGTGTTACTAGTATCAAACGATAAATTTCACGGGCGACTGTCACTTATAAAACAGCATTAAATATCGGATTAAAACTGGTATTTTCTTTTTTAAAAATTCTTCGCCACGTTCCTTTTATCTTTGCTTGGAGAAAATCAATTTTTGTTCACAATTAATGATAAGTATCCTGATTTCTGTTCTACCCATTGACGTCAAGGCGGAAGATCGTTTCTCAGTCTCTTCTTTGACGTAAAAATAAATGCCTGGGGAGCTCGTAGAAGTCGCGACAGTACGCCGGTACGTCAGACGCGTCCTCGAACTTCGCAAGAATCCCGGAATCCCGGCACGCTTTCGTTGTTACGCGTTGCGTAAAACCGCGCGGATAACAATGCAGTTCGCGTCTCACCGAGGGGCTTCATTGTTGGAAAGACGATCGAGAGAGATTTCGCCGCGACTACAGACGCGCATAGGCCACACGGACGCGCGTCGACGGATGATTGCGTCCTCGGCGAGAATGCAATCTGGAACAGTGCACATTTCTCCCGTTTGCCGTTCCTCTTCGAGATTTAGAGGCTCGTTGCCAAATGTCAGAGCTCGGAAGTACCTCCCACTAATTAAGTTTACTCCAAGAAACGTCCCGCCGCCCCCTTCTTACACACTCCCGATTCAACCTTCGTCGATTCTCTACCCTTTGCCCGCAGCCACCCTCTTCCCTGTCACCTACTTCGCCCAAACGCCCGACTATTTCCCTCCCCTCGCGCTCGGCTTCGTGCTTGTACGACAAGCTCTTTGATGACGAGCAACTTCGCGTTACCGGGATTGAGAGAAGAACCGCGGATAACACGGGACTTTACAACTACACCTGCCGATGAATATTTGATCAAAATCCCTGGTGAACATTCGCTTAGATCAAATTTCACGAATCCTTGATCACATTTTTAAGTCTTCATGTATAAAATACGCTCATTCCTCCGTCAATCTTCAAATTTTGTATATAAATACCTGACATCAAAAAGCGATTTTATGTCAATCATTTCTTTAAGGGGGTGAACAGGGATGAAATGTATTTTTACAAATTCTCTTAGAATATTTAATGATGTAAATTTTCAATACTATTCTCCAAAGGGAATGAAGTGACAACGTATTTTTATAAATGTCCTTTTACGTGCAACATCATTCTGATTTATATTAAAAATGATTAGAAATAAATGTTAATAAAATCATTTATGCCATCCGATAACACTGGAATCACAGTAGATTCTTAAATTATATCCAAAACGACTGAAACTACCATCACATTCCTATTCCTACCACAGGAGTACAATTATAATAAAAAGAATCGTGTTTCATTACTCAAAGCAATGAAACACACGGGGTTCACTCTCATCTCGCGCCGGTTGACGCTGCGGTTCACCGACGCGTCCCGCGGCGGAAACTTTTGTGCGCGAAACGCCGGCAGTGGAAACGGGCCGCGGAAAATTTTCCGCGGAAAGCGTCAATACGTCCGGGGGAAAGTTTCACCGATACCTCGCCCGCGGCCGGCCGCAGCCTCCCACTGATTTTTCGGAAATGCCGTGTCTGCGTTTTCGCGCGATCCCTCTGGGAAATTTCAACTAACGCGTCGCAAAGGATCCTACCCATCTTTTTATTCAAAGTGATGTGTGCTAGTGAATACGACACAGAATGAAACTCGAAGCGATTACATGTGACCTCTTACAACCCCGTGCACAAATACTAAAAAATTCTTGAATGAAAAATTATGCAAATTTATAAAATCGACATCAATCTCATTTAAATAATCTAATAAATGTATTTAATGATTAAATCCTGTTATAAAAAATAAAATGAAAGTAACAAAACTGAAGTACCTAACACCAAATCGTACTCAAATATAAGAAACATAAATATCATTGAAAAAGTATAGTGCTAAGCACTAGAAGAAGTATCGGTGGTAGCGTTTCCTTCTCTGTAAGTGAATTAATGTAGGTAGGAATTCAGGTAACGGTATTCAAATTTGCTGCATTTTCTTTCCGACAAAGAACCCATTACCCGATGCAGCTGGGAATGCGGAATCGCACTTTGCGCCGGAAAATATCCGCGGCGAAGTGGTGTCGCAGCGAGCTCATAAATATTGCGGGCGCACGAAGACGCCTGTCTAAACCCATTGGTATTCATACCGCGGTGTCTACGTTTTGCCGAAAGTATGTAATAAAATTCCGCTGCGCGGTGTCCGTGAATGACCGACGTAAGAATGTAACACTATAAATTCCGATTCGTGAGTTACGCAGTACAACGGGTTTTGATAAAACGCACAGCAATTGCGAGCTTTCGACCCCGTTTCAAAATTAGACGACACAGTCGGAAAAATGCAATTTTACTTCAACGCTGCAAGTAACGTTTTCAAGAATACGTCCAATTTCCCATTATTTTAAGATGTTACATAAAATCATAGAAAAAAACGGCAGTGAGTAGAAATCGAGTCATTCGCCTTAATAATGTCGAACGTGATATTGCCCGGGAAAAATTGACTAATATTTTCGGTGGAAGATGGAATAAGAACGACGGGGGAAAAAATGTTGTATCGTATCGTATCGGATCACATATCGGGGACCGATGCGGTATCGGCGCGGTGTGTGACGTTCTACAGCTGTCGCGCCATAATCGTTCCAAGCGTGAAATTACAGCGGAATCGATATTAGAGTTGGTCCGTGGTTTTTGTGCGACCGATGGGAATGCACGAGCAAGGAAACGCCGCTTTGATTCGAATTCAAAACGAATACGCTTTCACAGAACTTCGAGACGTGTTACTAGTATCAAACGATAAATTTCACGGGCGACTGTCACTTATAAAACAGCATTAAATATCGGATTAAAACTGGTATTTTCTTTTTTAAAAATTCTTCGCCACGTTCCTTTTATCTTTGCTTGGAGAAAATCAATTTTTGTTCACAATTAATGATAAGTATCCTGATTTCTGTTCTACCCATTGACGTATTTTCCTGTAATTTTATATGATTTTTTAAATTATTTTAAAATTGTAGAAAAATAACTTATTTACTTTACTTTCTAATGGAGTTTCATGAAACCTTATACTTATTTCAAGCTAACGAAAATCATGATTATAATAATTGATATGAATTGAAATTCAAATTAAATCGACGATTAGGAATCAATGTCGAGTATCCTGATTGAAACCTGGAGATATCGACGAAATGAGATACAATAGGAAATTAACCATATAGAAGATATTCAAGAAATAGCAAATAAAACAAAAAGATTCCAAGTCAATCGAACATTGGAAAGTTTTCAGAATCGATTCACAAGATTTCACGACACAAACGGACAAGTGAAGTTAAATAAAAACTTGTAAAATACGGTTTCAAATTGGACTTTATAGCTACGCTTTAAATATGAAACAAGAGATTCAGAATGATTTTCATATCAATACTTAACCTCAATCAGTAGAAACATCCTTTGCACAACCACTTGCTGTTAATATATTTTTCCCATACCCAAGACATTAATGTTAAGTACAAATGAGGTTATGAAATCGCGGATTCAAGTACATTGCATGCAGATACACTTTCCTAATTGATAACCTTGTTAATAACAATCTATCGAAGATGTATTTAAGTACTTACAGTATGCAAATTGTAATTCGAAGTCTTTTGAATCTTGAATCACACACGATACGATGTAAAATAGAAGAAACACTACACTTAACACCTGCACGTACTGAACTGACCTTCTTATTACGCAGCGAAGGATAATACGCAAATAGGTAAGTTACGTAATCACGTATCCGTGGACAGGTTCAGACTTTAGACTCAAATCACGAGCGCCCTCCCACCACTGCTCACCGGCACGCGTCTGCGGCCTGCGCTTATTTTCGATTAAGCGTCATTTCCGGTTCGCATATGTACTTAAATATGTATGAATGTAATGCACATTATTACATATAACATATGCCTTTTACCATGTCTATATAAACATAATGATTCCTATTATATTATGTTACAAAATTTATCCATATATATT